ACAAGGTTTTGTTCTCTATTGTTAGTTGTCGTCAACATTGTGGATGTTCCAGTTGGTAGTGGTCGACCGATAATGACGGAGCGGGGCATCGACTTGCACTTCTCGCTTTTGGGGCTTTGGGCTTCATCGGGGGAAGGATGATTGGGTGTTACAGACGGACAGAGCCTCAAAATACTGAGAACAATTTGTTTGTACCTACCAGATCGGTTACACACGCTGACAAGACATAGAAACTGAAAACCGCCGTCGAAACTGCGCATTTTGTTGCCAAGAGGGCCGTGGTTTGAATACCTTGTCGGTAACTTCCATCGTCAAGCCAAAAGTGAATGGAGCCGGCCGCCGGGTACGGGTACCCCTCCGGCCCGGGTGTTTAGCCCCGGAGGACGCAAGTTGGCTGCCGTAGAGGTGTTCAATCCTTTGGAGTTTGTATCATACATGTAGACACAGAGGTCTTGTTAGAATCGCCTTCATCTGCCAACTTGATGTTGGTGGATGGTGGCCTCCTTTTACTTCCCAGTTCTTAGGTTGGAGACCTTCCCTTCTTGTCATTTGGGCTCCTTGCTTGACAAATCAGAGAGCAGCAAAGTTCTCCAATCAACCTGGCCATGACGGCGCATGCGCTGCCTGCCCGAACACCTAGAGGTAACGTCCAGAGCCCGATCGAATTACCAGTGGGTGGTGGCCCCTGTCCCAGTTATTAAAGAAATCCCGCCCGTTGCCCCTCTTTGCCAAATGGATTGCGAATTATCAACTGGTCGAGGCAGAGGAGTGAGGGCCCCACGCAAAGTCGAAACACATGGCTGGAGAACAAGTGGAATGTCTTTTGTGGAAGAAAGTCCGCATGGAAATGATGTGCATACTTTAGGGATCACGATTGCGTTACCTCATTGTCTACAGCCCACAAGGCAGGTTTCGGACAGAAAATATGTGTAGTGTACTGTACTCGGTACATGGCCCGAAACTTGCGACATCATCGCCAACCTGACGTTGAATGTCCTCCCGTGCCTACAGGTCGGTCACAGCCTGGCCGCTTCATGCTAGGCCCGGCGTCAAATGGGAGTGGAAGCGAGGCGCCGCACGAAACGAGCGGGTGGGATGGGATGCCTCTATCGACATCCCGGCCACCTTCAGGTTCATGTTGGAGCGGTCGGGTGTTCCTTACCTCCTGGCTAACACATGGTCCCTGCTAGCTCCATAGATTCTACCTTGAAATAACGGCCAGGACGCTTGCAGTGGTTAGCTGCAGTTAGTGCATCCGCTCCACTGCATTGCCCATCTCGCCAGACTGCCCCCGTCATCACCTCCGATCTCCCGCGCATTTTGCCCTGCTCTCGCCTTGCACCCTGACACTTTTGCGCTGCTGCTACGGACATACTATACCTCCCGACCTGTGCCTTTTGCATCCCAATTCCCATTTCTTTTTCTTTTGCCATTACAACCAACACCTCGACATCTTTTTCTCCTCCGATCTACCTTTCTTCACATTACGGTGCAGCTCCAGGGCCACTAAGTAACGCTTACGAGTCTGCCACTTCGACTATCCTATCGACCGACGACAATCCATTATCAATCGACCATACAAGGCTGCTTGCTCCTGTCGCTTGAGCACCGTCTTCCCGCCGTCCACCATTCACACAGCGTCTCTTTTACCTACCTACGACCAGGACAATTACAGACGTTATATCCCTGACCTGAGAAGGAAACCCACGGATCGTCAGCGAGCCCCTCCTCCCACCTTTTCGGCGCCAAACCCCGTACGCGACGCCCATCCAGACCGACCCCTTTCCCTCGAACCGCATCGTGGGACCACCTTGCGAACGACAACAGCATTTGCTAAACAGCACCGAGTTATCCGAAAATGGGCAAATCGTGAGTGACTAAGTCCCCCGAACTTTCCGCGACTCATACCCGATCGACACCCACGGCACCGCCCGGCCGCTTTCTCCGCACCCCATCATCATCATCAATACGCACCGCATACCTGCTTCGCACTTGTGGAGGAGGGACCGTGAACAGCCTTCTTGAAATCCCTCCATACTGTCGCCCTTCTCTGTCTTTCGCATATACACATACACATACCATACCATGCGCTTCTTTAGCAGGAGCCGTTCCTCTGAGCAATCTCCCAATACCGAAAGCAAGATGAAGAGGCTGACATTGAACCCCGCCCGACACAGGCAGAGCAAGCTCGAGCGTGATAAGTTGGAGGAGCTGGAAAAGGCCACCCACTTTGACAAGAAGGAGTTGCAGCAATGGTATAAGGGTGTGTTACCTCCTCCCCGTCTTCTTTCTCATTATCGCCCAAGACCGCTTTGAACGACGCCGCCGCCGACAGTTACATCCACCGACCATTACGGCGCTGCGGCCCTCATCGCAAGCGCTCGCCATGCGCCCTCGTTACCCATCACTTTTTGTTTCTGAAACCGCCTCTAACCGAGATATGACAAAACAGGCTTCCTCAAGGATTGCCCCTCCGGCATGCTCACAAAGGCCGAGTTCCAGAAGATCTATGCGCAGTTCTTCCCCTTTGGCGACCCATCGTCGTTTGCCGACTACGTATTCAACGTGTTCGACACAGACAAGTCCGGCACCATTGACTTCAAGGAGTTTATCTGCGCCTTGAGCGTCACGAGCCGCGGCAAGATGGAGGACAAGCTCGACTGGGCCTTCCAGCTCTACGACATTGACGGCGACGGCAAGATCACCTACGACGAAATGCTCAAGATTGTTGAGGCGATTTACAAGATGGTGCGTTCTCTCTCGCTCGCCTCTATGGCTAGTTGTCGCAGATGCTAATATTTAGTCCAATAGGTCGGCTCAATGGTCAAGCTCCCCGAAGACGAAGATACCCCCGAGAAGCGCGTCAGCAAGATCTTCCGCATGATGGACAAGGACGAAAACGGCAGCCTCGACATGAAGGAATTCAAGGAGGGCAGCCAGCGCGACGAGACAATCGTATCCGCCCTCTCCTTGTACGATGGTCTCGTTTAAACCCCCTTTTCCTTTTCAATTTCATCACATCATTTGAATTGTTTCTTTCAGCAACGGGAATGGCGCGCAACGGTCTATGGTGAAGCAATTTCACCAAGAGGAGGAGCATGATTTGATGTATGTTGCGGCCTATGGTAGCAGGGTAGGCCCACTTTGGCGGCCCCCCGAAACACAAGAGCTTGGAGTTCACAAAAAGGGGTTGGAAAAGAAGAAAGTCAGTCAGTCAGTTTCGTTTTGAAAGCAAGATATCCCAGGGACATGTGTGGTGGACAAAGAATCTGGTTGCGAGGAAGAAAGTCCGAGAGAGAAATTCCTACCTCTACTCAGTTCAGCCATCTCGGCTCGGTCCGGTTCAACAAGTGCGGTGCGCGCAAACATTGATCGGATAAGATAACAGGACAGCCAGCTAGTTAGCCACCCAGCCAGCCCATACTTTCTGGGGTGTCTTACCTGTGGTTGAATCTGAGCCACGCCGCATTCGGCCCAGTGCCTAGATGGCGACCGGGATTGCGGCAAATCTTTGGGGCTGTGCTGTTCTTGGCTTTGAGTCTTCCAAGAGGAGGTGTCAGACCTGGTGATCATGTCGGATGGAAGGTGGGAACCCAAGGAGAGAGCACACATGCCTGGTGAAAAGGGAGAAGGGGAAGAGTCAAGGACTGACGGATGGAATAAGGATGGGAGGAAGGGAAGAGGAGGTCGTGATGAAGGGCGTTACTTGGTATAGGTATGGACGGACACACTACTACGGTTTCTGGTCAACACCACAACAACGACCTAAACCTAGAGGCAACCTCCTATTGCGTCGTGTCGTGTGTAGTTATACTTTTAGGACTGGTATTTTTTATGAGAGTTTAGCAGAATTTTTTCATTGTTTTTATCGGTTCAAGTTCCGTCCCATTCTCCTGTTCTGAAGACCCCATCTCCCAGCTCTCAGGTCTGAAATCTGAATGGAACTTCGTGATGTCGCTCTCTTGGATGACCCAGGTGGAACCTCACTCTAATCACTTCTTTTCGTGAACCAGAGGCATAAGAGGAGACAAAAGGATGAGACACAACTCCGTTGGAGTTGAAGCAAGAATATAGAACACCGTAGAGCTAGCTTCCTCTTGTCGTAAATCCTCGATTCCAACCAAACTGGAAGGACAAAGATGTAATGAGGACTAGGTGGAGAGATCACACTGAACATCAAACATCTAGTTCTAAGTCTAGGCAACAAAAACTGACTAGACGACAGAAAGTGACAGGGGACAATAGACTACCACAACTACACACCGACAGCTGTTTGCTTAAACCGTCTGTTGATCTCCCGTGGCTGCCGTGGCTGAGTGAAATTTGATGATGTCATTTTATATCCTGGAGTTTGGGGTAAATTCGATTTCTTGTACAGATGTTGAGATACCAAGAGGACGCGACTGACTCGAGACATATATGGACGGGCGGATGGATGGTATGAAGGGTGTGGTATTATTGATACTTGAAGCCTGCGTGTGGACTAGTTACACTGGTATCATTGAAGAGAGGAAAAAGACCCATCCGTAAGGTTATTATTAAGTAAAAGTTGGTTCACGACCTGCGATGTTGAAGAAGACGAGTGGGAGTGAATTAAGGTTAACCGCAAGCACGAACCCGTAGCAAGAAAGACATCGCTGATTTGAATAGTTCCCTAGTGAAATCACCGCAACGCAACGCAAACCGAGAAAACAGACCCAAGAAGAAGTAACTTCAGTTGGCACAAAATCTTGCAAGTAAAAGCCCCGGACTATTAGAGAAGTTGATGGCATGAAATATCCTAACGCATTTTTCGTCGCTTATATAGCAGCTGGAACTGGAAGAGAGTAGAGAACCCATTAAGACATAAAGACCCCTCATGACATAACTAACGTAAATAAAACTAGCTCAAAAAAACAACAACAACTAGGAGTGGTATAATGGAAAGATGATTCGCGCCCCATAAACAAAAAACAAGTATTTTTTTTTTCATACACAACAACAAAAGACAAGTCGGTGGTTTACTCCTTGGGGCCATAAGCCTCGTCAACCTCCTTCCTGTACTTGTTGAGGATACCCTTGCGGTTGAGCTTCTGGGCGGCCGTTACGAGATCCTGTGAAGTTATTGTTAGTTATGCGTTGAAAGGGAAAAAGTAGAGGGCTTGAAAAACTCACGTTCTGTGGGGTCCACTCCTCATCCGACACGACAACACCCTCGATAATCTCAATGCCAGAAAGGCCACCGGCGCGACCAGCGTTCTGGAGCTCCTTGAGAACAGCAGCCTGGAGCTTCTTGTTGTGTACGAGCTCCTCCAAGCTGTCACCCTTGACACCGATCGAAGAAGCGAGCTTCTTGAGGGCGGGCTCCGCGGGAACGATGATGGCGATGGGCTTGGAGCGGCCCTGGTCGGCGTAGACGCAGATGTTGGCGACGACAGCGGCGGAGCGGTAGATGGACTCGAGCTTCTCGAGAGCAATGTACTCGCCGTTAAGAGTCTTGACGAGGTTCTTCTTGCGGTCGATGATCTTGAGATGGCCGTTCTTGTCCCACTCGCCGATATCGCCGGTCTTGAACCAGCCGTCCGAGGTCAGGGCGGCGGCGGTCTCCTCGGGGTTCTCGTAGTACTCCGAGAGCACAGAGGGGCCACGGAGCCAGATCTCACCCTGGGGGTTGGGCTTGTTGGTCGCGAAGTAGCCGGCATCGGGGAAGTCGACAAGCTTGGCCTCGACCGAAGACGGCATGGCGCCGATGGACTCGGCAGTCCACTCGTTGGGGTTCTGGAGGCAACCCATAGCGGTCGTCTCGGTAAGACCATAGCCGATGATCATGGGGCAAATGGCCATGGAGATGAACTTCTGGGTGTCCTTGGCGACGGGGCCACCACCGTTCAAGCAGAGCTTCATGCGACCACCGGTAGCATCCTTGATCTTCTTGAACACGATGGCGTCCAAAAGACCGCTTCCTGGCAGACCGAGACCCATGAGCTTCTCCTTAAGAGCAAGCGCACCCCAGAAGAGGTTGCGCACCACAGGGCTTCCGGCGTTGACCTTTGCGAGAATGCCCTTCTTGACGGTCTCCCAGACAGCGGGGACACCGACCAAAACACTGGGGGTGAACTCGCGGATATCGCCGAGGCAGTTGCGCACGGAGGTGTCGGAGAGGGTCTTGGGGTTACCGTAACCCATGGTCGAACCCCAGTAGAGGCAAGCGTTCTCGAAAACGAACTCGAGAATGTGGGCAAGGGGAAGGTAGGTCAGGAGGCGGTCACCGGGGCCAATGAAGGGCTGGACGACGGGGCAGACACCAGCGACTGTAACGAAAAAGTTAGTAGCAATTCAGGCACAGAGACAAAAGTTTGCGACAACTTACCGGCCGCGACGACGTTGCTGTGCTTGAGGGGCACACCCTTGGGGGTACCAGTAGAACCAGAGGTGTACATGATGCAGCAGAGATCCTCAGGGGCAGGCGCAACAGGCGCGACAGGGTTCTGCTTGCCGAGCTGGACGAGCTCGTCGAAGTTCAAGACGGTAACACCGCGCTCGGTCCTGAGCTGCTCAATGTGGGCATCCTTGGCCTTGTTCTGGTTGTTCCAGATAACGTGTGTGATGTCCTTGGCATGCCCAAGAACGCCGTTGAGGGTAGGGAGGAGATGGGGGTCGAGGAAGATGGCCTTGGCCTTGGTAGCGACCATGGAGTACTTGAGACCCTCGGCGCCGAGAGTGTCGTAGGCAGTCACAATGGGCATGGACTGGGAGGCAGCACCATGGGACATGGCGAGCCAGTTCTGGCTTGTCGCGGCGAAGATGTGGACACGGTCGCCCTTGTTGAGGCCGAGGGCGCGCAGACCGGCGCCAACGTCGAGAGTGCGCTGCTCATACTCCTTGAAGGTAATGAACTCGTAGTGGCCGAGCTCGAAGTAGGTCCAGTTCTTGTCCACCTCGCGCTCCTCGCCATCCACCATCTTCTTGACCTTCTTGGTCTCGACATGCGTGTTTACGAGCTTGCGGGAGCCCATGCACTGCGAGTCGCCATAGGCAAGGGAAGCCCACTTGACGAGCTTGTAGACGGTATCGATCTCCTCACCGATGGTCTCCTTCTCGCCCCATCGCCTGTTTGGGGGCTTGTTATCCAGGCCGTTGATGACGGCGGGAATGCGGCGGACAGGAGTCTCTCCCTGGACGGGCGTCTGGCCGGGTACATCGAGAGTATAGGGGGGTTTGTTGACCAGCTTTGGGACTGGCGTCAAGAACGTATGGACCATGATGGGCGGTTATTAGGAGTTAAGTAGATGGAGCTCGAGGGCGCGTTTTTCTTTGTTACTTGAGAGGGAGGAGCTCTGGGAGAGGAGGGCTGCCTTTATCGAGAAATGGGGGAGATGCACCGTGGATTCGTTGCCGAGGCCGCAGTCGCGCTAAACAAAATCCCGTCCTAGTGTCGGTTGCGGGACTTGTGTAGGGTAGGTGCGGGAGTGGAGGGATGTGGATTTGTCGTGTGCTCGTCGTCTCGTAATTAACAACGCAATGTAGAGGGCGTTGGTTGGTGGTTTGGATAGTATGGATAGGAGTGGGAGAGGGAGGAAGAGGACGGGACGGAAAGAAGAGAAGGACAAGAAAGAGAGAGGTGGAGGTGGAAGCGACGGATTGAAGGGAAAAGGAGTTTCTTTTCTGTCTCTCTCTCGAGACGGGACGATGGACACCACTTGAGACTCGACGCTCAGTTGGGGTTGGGATGCATTTTCATTTTGGGGTTGGACTGGCAAGGGGGCCCATTGGTCCACCAGCTGCACCAAGAACCCACTTGGAAAGCCACTGGCCAGGGCAGTTGACGCTAGGCCGGCTAGCGCAGCTGAGCACAGATGGCCCGAGCTCCCTTTTGGCGTCTCTCTAAGTGCTCTTGCAAGTCTTGGCCCTTGCCTGCCAGGCTTTCCCATGACGAAACAGCTTTGCCTTCAGGAGCGCTAATCTAGATAAAGGATGGCGCGTCTCTGGGCTTCTCCACTGTTAGGAAAAAGTTGTGGCACAAAGTCACCATGTCACAACTCTAACGTTAGAGATGGATACAAGTATGCGGTGCTGGTAAAGTGACTTGCATCTTGTCAAAAGAGTGCTTCTGCACAAGACGCATCGCAGCGGCAACCAACTCGCAGACGCCATCTCGACTATTTTCTGGGCATCAGCGGGGTTTATTGGTACCGTCTTGTCAAAAGGTCAGACCGTCTGTCGGTCTCTTCCATGCCTTTCGTCCAGACACTAACACCAGGGACCTACACTAGGTATGTATGGATCCCCATCGGTCAACAACAACGTGGACCTCTTCCGAACAAGCCGGGCAGACCTGACTTCTACCGGGCTGCCGTGGGCGGTCTCGGACTATTTTGCAGCGACAATTACCCGTCGTGATGAGATAAGCTTTTGTAGAAGGGGCAGGAAGGTGGAAGGTGGAACGGGGAAAGCCAACAAAGTTCAAAGTCGAAAATCGAACAGAGTCCAGCCAGGCCTGGCGAACCCTTGTGTTCCATGATTGAACCCTTGGAAAACTCCACCGTCACTCTTTTCGGCGGTACTGTCCATATAAAAATTTGCTGGGTTGCCTTTGGAATGGACGGGCAGTAAGCGGGCACTGTTGGCTTAACCGGTTAGGCACGGAACGAAAAGAAATTTGGCGATGCAACGAGATGTTACCATGCTGCAGGGTCGGATTTGGGTAGAGCCACAGGAGGAGCGAAACAACGGCGTCGGGCAATGGAAGTCGACAGACGGGGACACATCGAACGGGACGCTCCCGTTTGACAGGCGACTGGACTCGACGACAATGAAGTCGGTCGATGAAGGACCTCGGCCAAAGGACAAGAGCAATGCGCCTGTGATACCTTCAAAACAACACCATGGGAGCACAATCACAACTTCCAGCCCCGAATGACTGCGTGTGCCTCACTTGCCCACTGGAGCCGAGCATTGGCAGTCCTGTTGGTGGCCGTTTCGAGAAATCCCCCAGTGGCCCAGACTCGACGACCTATCGAACCTATCGGCTTGGCGAGTTGACCTGAAAGAGGCACAGAAACAAGCGAGAGTGATTGCTCGGGCGTGTGACAACGATGGTCACCATATCCAGTCGGAATGTGTTTGTTTGTTTCTTCCTTTCCTTTCCTTTCTTTCACAAATCGAAAGCTTCCAAGACTCCAAGACTTTCTCCCCCGCCTTTTTCTTTTGACAACCCGTCCCGAGCCTCAGCTGTGGAGAGGAATGCACCTCCCATGCGCGCATCTTCCCCTCTCCGCACCCCCTCCATACCCGTCACCCGAGGTGCTCCGGCTCGGCCACATGCCCATATGTACATAAGACGGGGGGCACACGACACAACGGAGACGGGAACGGAGATGTGCTTGATGAAAGACAGCATGCATCACCAACCAGGGATGCTTTCTGTTTTCCCTTCTCTTCCATACAAAAAGCCCAATTGCTTCTCTTGCTTCCTGCAAAGCTGTCCGACTGTCGTCTGTTGTCCCGCCGGACCTCGCACTGGGAATGGGAGACCCGGAGTGACGGCGGGCACGCCCCACGGAAATCCATCGATCGCGGCGTTTGCCGTTGATTCGTTGGTTTCTCCACTCGGTCTGCTCAACAAAAAAATGTCATCCCCAGTCCGCCTTCCGGGCCAGTCCCTGTGTGCTTTTCTCCTCGCCTCCGCATTTTCTTAGGCTCTCTTCGCCAAGCTTCTGTCTGCTCCCCACTGGATTTTGATTGGCCAAGGAGTGGAAAGATCCGAAAACCTCGAATCGAACCTATCGAACCGCTGCTCGTCTTTGTGTGAATTTCCTATCTCGTAACTTGCAGGATCGATTGGCATCTCACTTGCACTTGCACTCGCGCATTGCGTCAAACTGTGCGTCACTCGGTGCTGTGTCCTGTGTGTGTGGGTGGCAAGTACCAACAACAACAATTCCGGACTACACATCGTCAATAATACTACAATGGAGAGGCAACAACAAGAAGGGCGGCAGCGCTGCGAAGAGCTAGAAAGCTTTTTGCGACTGCTCGGAAACGAGATCAAAGACTTGGACGACGCTGATGAAGGTTTGCGCGAGTGCCTCTTTCATACGTAGCAGAAAAAGTTCCCCGTAAAGCTGACTTGGTAAATCTCCCACCACAAAAAAAAACAGAGACATATGATCTCTACGCTCAAAACCTGCCCTCCTCAGATCTGGGAATCATCGACCCAAAAACCACCGAGTTGCAACTCACCGTAGCCGGTCGAGAGCTCACCATCCATCAATCACCGGGAATCCTTTCCTCGGCCCGTGCCGGAGGTACCACCGGAGCCGGTGCGTAAACTACCTTACCTCTTTAAAAACCCACACACCCAGCCATGCCATGCGATGTCATTGCACCAGCGCCTCGGGACCAGTCCATTGAAGTCATCCACCACCACTACCCTACCCTTTTTCTTTTTACCCTACCCCTGGCCCTGACCTGACCTGGCCCTTACTCATCACTCGTCACTCATCTATTGCCTGCCCCCATATGACGATTAGTCACTCACCATCTCTCTCCTTAACCGTTGCTGGAGCAACAGATCCTGTTGTTGACTTTGGCAATGGTCGTCGGTTCTCGATGCGCTTCCATCTCCCCTGTGTTTTTCCTGTCCACGTTGGTGCACACTAGACTAGCATTGAGCACACATCTACATCTACATCCACACGTGTACAGAGTCACACATATGTACAAGTATAGTTACTCGTGGTCTCGTGCACATCAGCATGCCTAACGCTTCCGTCCCTTGATGCATTGCTTTAGTTTAAAAACCCCCCAAAAAAATAATTTTTTTTTGGGGGGTAATTCTTTTTACCTGAAATATATCCGGGCACTTCATAGAATCGACTATTTGTCGATACTCCTTTCCCATCCCCTTCTCAACCTTTCCAAACCACTCCCGCTCCAGCTCTTTTCACTCGCTTCCCCTTTCCCTTCCCCTTTTAACTCCTTACTCTTTCAGGCTTCTGCCTCTCCCACCCCCTCCTTTTCAGACCAAAAAAACTAAGCAGCGTACTAAAAAACAAAACAGTAACATGGCGAATAACACCCCTCTTCGTCACCTGGATATCCTCCCCGTCCAACCCCCTCTCCACACACCTCGACCTTCTCTCGCCTCAATCGACGATAATCGAACTAGGAGCCGGCACCTCCGCCATCGTCGGTCTGCTACTCGCCCCCCGTGTATCTCGGTACGTATTGACAGACCAAAACTACGTTGCAAAGCTTGTGGAGAAGAATGTTAGTGAGAATTGGGCTTCGGTTGCACAACAACAAAGTGGGAGTGGGAACAGCGGGGGTAAGAGCAAAAAAGGAGGGTCGAAAAAACCAGCACCGGGTGCAGGTGCGGGAGCAGGCGGTGACGGACCCGGGGAAAGACTCGTGTTCAAACCCCTAGACTGGGAAACAGACACCCCCACCTCCTCTCTAGCTCAACCCGTCTCCTCCTCCTTCGACCTAGTAGTTGCTTGCGATTGTATCTACAACGAGGCGCTGGTTGATCCGTTCGTTACTACTTGTGCGGATATTTGCCGCCTTCGATCTTCCTCTTCCTCTTCCTCATCAGAAGGAGATGGACAAGGAGAAGGAAGCAAGAGGCCGACGGTGGTAGTGGTTGCGCAAGTCCTTAGGAACTCGGACGTTTTCGAGACGTGGATTAAGCGGTTTGTTAGGGATTTCAGGTGTTGGAGGGTGCCGGATGAGATGATGATTGATGGGTTGAAGAGTGAGGGTCAAGGGGGTGGGACGTCGGGGTTTGTGGTGCATGTGGGGGTTTTGAGGGAGGGGAGGTGAGGTGAGGATTTGAAGAGGTGAGGAGGAGGTGGTGAAGGCGAAGAAGGTGAGGGATTGGGGAGAGGGGTTAAAAAATGTCATTGGGTTGAGGGAACAGCTGTTGGGGAAGATTATTGGTTGGATGTAGAGCAGGAAGGACTTGACGTGTTGTGGAAAGATGTGATCATTAGATGGTGGTATATATCCCACGTATACCGCGTGACGCAAAAAGCCCAAGTGCCTAAAACTCCCAACTCCAGTTCCATCTGTTCTACATATTGGCTTTTGAAAGCCGTCAACAGATCTAAGACCATCTGAAAGCCTAAATCATCCGAACAACTCTGCCTGTGCGGAGTGCGCATCGTCCCGTTCATCCAATGTCCTGTAGTAGCACGGTATGAAGTCGAAATAAGCTTCCACCTAAACCAAATCCCAAGCACATATCCCCTGGAAGCTGTACGCGCACCTCCCCTTCCTCCTCAAATACTCCTCCGTCGTCAACCCTCTCGCACACTTATTGTCTAACGTCGTGATCGAAAACACCGTGATCTTTTGTCCCGGCGCTCCCAGATCAATAGCAGGTATATCCGCCCACCACCAGAACCCGTCCGTATCCAGGGGCACAAAGTCCTTCTTTCTTCCGTCTCGCCCCTCAATCGCCACGACGTAGAGGTACTGCTTCCCTCCGCCGTGCCTCTCCGGGTCCCAATGCACGCACACCTTGCTGAACTGAAACCGTACCACTTCGCCGCTGTAGACGGGGATCGTGGCCGTCCGCGGCTCCAGGCTGAACTGATCCAGTCCGTCTTTGTCTGCGTCGCCGTACCAGCACGGAGTAGGGCCGTCTCCGAGAATGTACTCCTCCCAGGTCAAGATGCGGCCGTCGGAGCGGTAAAAGTGTCGCCGGTCTGTTGGAAAGTGTTTCTTGCCGATAATTTCGTTGGGGAGGTAGAACATCTCCGGGCTAAACTTCTGATGGAATTGGTTGTCGGGGCCCAGGTGGCCAGCGCCCCAGCAAGCATCGATGATCTTCCACTCACCGCCGTCGATACGGACCGCGTTCCAGGCGTGGTTACTATCTTCAGGAGGAATAGGAGCGCCAGAGGCTAAATCGTGGTGGCCGAATCCCTTGCCGTGGCCACTGATGAGGACACATTCTAGACCAGCAGCAAGGGCAATGGATTTGTACACCTCTGCGTAACCCTGGCAAACGGCTTTGCCGCTGAATATCTGCTCAGCGGGTGACGAATGGTGCGGAATGCACTTATTGAAGAAGCCGTGGACGTCGTATGCCATGTTGTGGTGGCACTAGGTAAAGATGGCGCGAGCCTTGTCGGTGGCCGAGTCGAAAGGGTCACAGAGGACGTGGGCTAGGTAGCGAACGGTGTCATGACGTGGAAGTGAGGAGGTCGGATGTTGTGCCGCAACAGTATCAGGCCCGGAGAAGTCGCGGCATATGAGGCAGACAGGACCGACTGGAGGGGCGGAGACTGATCGAGGAACGACATCAGTGCCAGTGGCTTTTCGGGATACAACAACATCGAGTGTAGGTCGGGAGCTTAGCGGGATGGGTGGTGGTGCTGGCTCGGGAATGGATTTTGGTCTGTAACTGAGCGGTGGAGGTGGTAGTTGGCGATTGGGAAGAGGTGGGCCCGGCTCTTCCTCGACGTCAGGGAAATTAGAATGCCTAGCTGGCCGTGAAGGAAGCCTAGGTGGAAGAGATGGGCGCGATGGTAGTGCCGGAGGTTCGCGGGATGCAGAAGATGGAGGCGGTAACGAAGAACGTGATGGAAGTCGCGGGGGCCCTTGGGGCAGGGCGGGAGGAGCTGATCGATTTGCTTCTCGTTCTTGCTGTTGCTGTGCTTCCTCCCTGGCCTTTGCTTCGAGTTCACGTCGTGTCGGAGGCAATGGCGGAAGCTTGGCTTGATCAAATGCTGGCGGCAACTTCCTCATGGGATGGCCATTATCGGACGTGATGCTAGTGCGGGCGGACGAAGAGGCGGTATTGTTCCAGGACGATGTGGACACATTAGAGAGGTATGAGATGTCGGACGAATTGGAATTTCTTCGAGCGCCTGGAACAGGAAGAGAAGCCGAGACGGTCCGTCGAGGTGGGAGGGCCGGCGAGATCTCCTGTGAAGAGGTTCGGGAGGGCAATGGGGGTGGTGGCGGCTTCCTGGTCAAGGTGGGCATCGGCTTGTCCTCCGGGATGTCTTGCTCGGTGGTTCGTCGCGGCAACGGAGGAGGTCTAGCGACAGCGGAAGCAGCCCGGGTTGGGCGTGGAGGAAGCGATGGGGTCGAAAGAGCTCCATTTCGACTCGGTGATGTCGGATGAACAACAGGAATCTCTGTTGCGGCTCGAACGGGGGGCGGGGGCGGAGGTCGTTTGCCAGCAGTCGAAGGGGCTTTGAAGTTCTTTTGCTGGTTCAGAGCGGCGATACGCTCCGCCAGAGTGTTGAACACAGGCTCTTCCACGTCGGCCATCTTGAACAATGGATGGTGATCACACAGACCACGGAAGCTTGGAAAAACAAGAATGGGAGAAAAAAGAGCAGAAGTAAGAGCAAGAAACGAGTTGAGAAGGGGGAAGGGGGAAGGCCGAGTTTCAATCCCGGGCTCACGGCATGCAGTTCAGATGGTACTCGGGTTATCTCGCCAATAGCAGGGATAGAACTGGAGCGACGGAGGCTAAGAGAGTCTGGGCGCAGTTGGGATCGTCAAGGCGAACGGTTGGCATTATGGGGCGCCAATGCACATGGTAATCAGGAGTCCGAGGGTTGGTAGCTGGATGATTCTGAGGAGCAAGAAATGGGGTGGATGGCGGATGCCAGAACCACATCTTATTACATTGGTTGTAAAAAAGATAGAAACAAGAAGTAAAATACCTCGTGTACACAGAGTTAAGGAAGATGAAGAGAATAAAACCGTTGTTTGTAGGCCGGTGGAGGTGGTCATTTTAGCGTTGCATTCATAGCCGAGCCCGTTTTATGGAGCACTAACATTTAAATCTACTGCGTAGGCAGCTACAGCCAAAATCTACTCTAAACGTGCCCCTGCATTTTACTTGTAGGCTTGGGGATCGTTTAATTGGAGGTGATAACTGAAGAGTCTCCAGTTCTGGTAAGGAAGCCACACGTTTGTATTCGACTCTTTAACTGACACGCCCTAGAGAAATCCAATGTGGTGAACTAAATTCGAAACATTTAAAATGAGACAGGCATGGTCTGTCGGGTTATCGGTGGAGTTGTTACAGCCTTCCAAGGCGTGAATCAGGCGTTGTCCCTGAGACTTCAGCTGCCAAAAGATCCAATGATGATGGGATAAGTGGGTCTTTTGCCGTCCTTCCGTCCCCTGTCCGCGCCTGCCATGCCGCGCCTAACCCGCTACCCCGCCATTCAATCCAACCGCACCTGTTAGGCGTGGCTCCCCCGCAGTGCCCGCTAAAAGGCAGATCAACCCCCCGGTTTCCCATTCCAGGGTGCAGTGTAAACAGCCATCCCCTGCCTGCCACAGGCCTGCCTCTTAACAGTCCACGACGGGAGCCAGCGACGACCCTATCGGCAGTCAAGAGACAAGCAGGAAGGCCCGAGGACGGGAGACTGCCCGCTTTCAACTTCCACCTCGAACTCGATAGGGCCGTCGCGTCTTGGAGGGAACAAGTTCTTTCCTTCACTTTCATTCTTTCAACCCCAACGGGGTCTCCTTTGGCTCCGTCGGTACTTCCCCAGAAACTAACTGCAACCACAATCAAATGACAAGCTAAAGTATCAGCAAAGTACATCTGCTTATTTCTCCCCACGTCGCCAACTCTGCTATCACTTCATCCACGGAACGACGAACCATCAATCAGATATTCTGGGCATCATTTTCACTCTGCTCTTATTCCGGCCCGAACAAACAGACGACTGCAGGACGGCCACAGGACGCGTTACCCGACACAAGCTCTGCATCCGACTCGCCGTTGGTGCCCAGCCGCAGCGGGCGTCAAGTCCCGACCCGTCCCGCGTGTGTGTACAGCTTTAACTAACAGAAGCAGAAGCATATCCATAAGCTTATCCATCCATCATCGCTTAAAAAGTAGAGGTAGCTGCGCGGCTTCTCGGCTGCCCTGACAGAAGACTGCCTTACATATTTCTTCTACCTGTGCCTACCTGCGGCATCACCACTTTTTTTCTCCCCGCACTTCTCTCCCAACGGGTACAGATAAATGTCTTCCCACTCGGCACTCCATCCCAAAGCAGCCATGAACCCGCACGAGAACGGTCATGCGTCGCCCGCCGCGAAGCCTCACAGAACCTTCTTGAGCTTGCCGTCAGAGATCCAAAAGGACATCATCAGCCACTGTTCCCAGCCCGACCTCATCTGCCTCGCCCTTGCCTCCAAACAGTGCCGAGAACTGGCCGCTTCCCAGCTGTATCGCCAGTTCCACATCGTTTTCCCCGACGAGGATGACCCGTCGTTCGACTCCCCCATCGATGGTCTGGCTGGTGGGCTGGATACCTTTGCGACGAGCGACTACAACTATGCGCAACATCTCAGAGATCTTTCTCTCGACACCCTTAGTGCCGGTAACAAGGGGGAAGCTGCTTACAGGCCCTACCTCTTCAACAACAGCTGCGGAAAGTTTATGAACACTCTTCTGCTCCTCACTCTGCGCAAGGCGAATAAACTCGAGACTTTCAAGTACGCCCACCCACCTACTCCCAGTTCAGTTCTACACGTACAGCGTTACCAGAATGTTTGTGCTAACCCTTGTGTCTCTTAGGTGGAATATCCGCGTCGAGCTTAGCCGTCCCGTATACGCCGTGCTACACCATATCGAGACCCTCGCAAACGTGCACATACGCATGCAGGCAGGAGCGTCTCTCTATGAAAGGCCGCCTCCGCTCCCTCATACCCTTCTCGGTCACCCACTATTGCTCACTGCCCCCGGCCAGCCGACGCAACAATTCTGGACGACTCAAAGCCCTCATCCGCCCCCGCCTCCTCCGCAGCAGGGTATAGACTTTGGGACACCGATCGCGAACGGCGGCAACACAACCTTTTACTTGGTTCAGAGTCCACAACCCCCTCATCCACATGCTTTCACTCAACAGCCTTCTCATCCACAGGCTTTCCCTCAGCAGCATCACCATCATCACCATCATCACCCTCCCGCTCCCAAGCCCCCCTCCAAAACAAAAGCGCAGAAGCGACCTCAGGTCCTCACGGATCCCCCAACCATATCGGGGTTCAAAAGGCTCAAGAGCCTTGCCGTTCTCGATATCGACACCCTTGATATTGTGACAGAAATCAAGACCTGTGTTAGAAACTCGGCCGGAACCTTGACCAAGCTGAAACTGTCCTTTTCGGACTCTCTTGCATCCCAGGCTCGGAGGCCGCCGGCACCGGAAGTCGTTACCGACGATAGTGACGAGGAGCAATCCATCTGGTCCAATCCTGGCCTGGACCCAAATCTGCAATCGAGTGATGCGGTCGAGAGCACGGGAGCAAAAGCACATCGGGCGCAAGAGGAAAAGAAGGCACAGGAGTCCGTTTTGGGGCGCATTTTCGATGTCGAACACTATGTTGTCAAGAAACCACAAAAGAAGATCAAGGCAAAAGAAAAGACACCTGATGAGGCATCGAGCTCGGACCCTGGCCAGAGCTTCATTCAAAATGTGATGAAAGCGGCAGAGGTTCTTATGAAGAAGAAGGATGACACGCGACGGGATGCTCTTGATATCATCGAAACTGCCGCCATTGCTTATGTCGCTTCCCTAAAGACCAAGGAGAACGGGACCACGCCTGAAAATTTCGGTCCTCAGTCCGCTCAGAGCAAGGCCAAGACAGAAGGGGAATCAAGTACTGCAGGATTAGGAAGCAGTTCCACGGGTCCCTCTGTTCCTCCTACCCGACCTAAAAGGGAAGGTGATGATCTCATCGAGGAAGACATCGAAATTGAAGAGCCTGAGGAAGAACTCGACCTCGATCCAGGAACTCCACCTTCTCAAAGTGAGAAAACAGAGACTGTACCCGAATCATCATCTTCGCAAGCGTTGTCGTCGGCAACAGGCGGCCTTGACCCCGCTTCTGTCGAGAAAGCCGTAGCTAACTTGGTAGCGCAAAAGGTTAACTATCAAACTTTGATCAAAAAACTTCAGATGTATGAGGCACGAGCTAACAACCTTCGTAAGGAAACCGAAGAACTGCGCGAGCATGACGGGCCAATCGATCGCGAACGCATCGCTAGAACCGAGAGGGAGATTACAGAGCTGAGCAACGGGATCGAAAAGGCTAGGTCCGAGATCAGCGTGGTCGAGGCTGAGGTGTCTGATTCGCAAAAGGAAATCAATGCTCTTCGCAACTCGGATAACGTTGAGTCCCAACGTCAGCGGAGGAGTGAATACGCACGAGCGACAAGGGGTTTGCCTCTTCAGTCACTCGGCATCTATCTGGTTCCGGTCAAGGCTTCTGTCCTGTCGAAGGCGCTGGACGTCCGCATGCTCACTCGCATTACTCTCCTCAATGTTGGGCCTCAAGCACCAATTTGGGCTTACCTGAAGAGCCAGAATGAGGAAAGCCCTCTCCCGCTGTGCAAGATCTTCACTGATAATATCACGGCAAATTTCTTGCAATTAGTCTCCCAACTAAAACAGGTAACGGAGCTGTTCATGCTTGAGAGAGAGGCCAAACACAAGCCTGAAAGCTTCGCCTCTCAGACGATCATAGATATCGATGACATTCGACGACTGGCACTCAGAAAGCACATGCCTCGTCTGCGGAAGCTCATGATCAAGAACCAGGCCAGTACAGCATGGGATTTGAACACCGACACAATCATGCTAGTGTGCCGGCGTGGCAAAAACATCGAAGAGCTTTCCTGCAGCATGAGTCTGCGGTCCTTGGTAAGTGCCCCTAGCATTGACCGAATCTATGAGAGCAGTTTACTAACCTCATAACCTCAACAGCATACCTTCAATCAAAACGTGCGCTTTCTCACCAACCTTCACGCCCTTCACATCATCTGTCTCCGTTGCGATGACCTGTGTCCATCCCTTTTGACAGAAGGGAAGGAGTTTTTGATCGACAACCTCACGCAGTTTCCTTTCAAGAACCTCGAATGGATTTCGGTCAGCGAAGGCAACTGCGTGAACCATATCAAGTTCCACGAGCCGCCGTCGCTGGAAGAGAGGAGGAGGAGACTGGCGGCCAAAAAGGCTAAGGCTAAGGGCAAGGCCAAGGCCACCACGACGACGGCAACCACCAGTAACGGAACATCAAGCAACATCACCCAATACCCAGAATTTCCTCCCCCGGAAATCTGGGATGGTCAAACTAGTACTGATGACGAGTATGGGGGTGGCGAGTGGGCGCCTAGGTCACACAAACTTTTTGAGAAGCTGGGGGACTATGCGCTTCTATGATGTGTGGGGGGTGAGGATCTTCAAGAAGGAGGTTCTCAGCGGCCGTCTATGAAGAAGTCCCAGACATGACTGAGGTGCGACGATTTTACTTGACACCAGCGGGAACATGGGCGCATGATGATGATGAGGGAAATGAAATCATGAACACAGCGATTTGTAGTTTTCCTTATCTGTTTCTATTGAACGGGGGCGCTAGAGGAGGCTGGATGTCGATGTGGGAAGAAGGCATTCCAGTGGTGCTTAGGTGGTGATGATTGCTATTTAACATCTGGCGGTGACCTTTTCAGCGTTCTTTTGTCGGGGAAGATACAGAAAGAAAGAAAGGTAGATGAGATGAGGCTGAGTGGAATATACCCAATAGTCTTTTGTCGCTTTCATGTTACTTGTATGCCTACCATACGCAATATCGTCAATTCCGTTCCAGTTTAGTCACAGTCCCTAGATTTCAAGTCACTGGAAGTCTTGATAGTCACATCTTTTTTTTAACAAGATAAAATCATCCATTCGTTATGTATATGCGCCATGAACTATGTACAACGTTAAACCCGTAAATGAGCTGCTGTGAAAACAAAGCTGTGGTGGAGTCATTCATTCGCTGATGACTGTCCCTCCACTCCACCAAGACCATTAACTAAGAAAGAGACCATGACTATGATAAACTTCAAAAAACCCGCAACCGTGATATCAAACGTTTTGTATGGAAAGCAAGACGTGATGGAAAAAGATCAAGAAAAAAATCATTCGCTTTGCGTCGCGCGCTTCCCTTCCTTCTATGGCGGCGGCGCTAACTCTTTCCTTTTTGTTTTCAACCCCTTTTAACTTTTTGACCCTTCCAAACGGAAAGGTTTACCACTCAAGCGGCTCCTTCTTCTCCTCCCCGCGATTCGTCTTGGGCACAGGAACCGCCTTAGCGACCAACTTGCCGCCCTGGCCCTTCCTCTTGAGATACGCGCGTCCATCGAGCCAAGGAGTCTGCTGGCTCATGCACGCCTCGTACTCGGCAATCTTGTCCTCCATCTGCATCGTCAGGCCGATATCGTCCAGGCCGTTCACGAGGCAGTGCTTCCTGAACTCCTCGACTTCGAACGAGCACAGGGTGTTACCCTCGCTGTCCTTGATCAGCTGGTTGGGCAGGTCGACCTCGATCTCGCGGCCCGCGACGGCCTCGGCGTGCACGCGTTCGAGCGCGGCGGCGTCCTTCATGGGGATGGGCAGCATGCCGTTCTTGAAGGAGTTGTTGAAGAAGATGTCGGCGAAGGAAGGGGCGATGACGCACTTGACGCCGAAGTCGTTGAGCGCCCAGGGGGCGTGCTCACGAGAGGAGCCGCAGCCGAAGTTGGCGCCCGTGCAGACGATGATCTTGGCGGAGCGGTAAGGGTCGCGGTTAAGCACGAACGAGGCGTTCTCGGTGCCATCGGGGTTGTAGCGCATCTCGTAGAAGAGGGCAGATCCCAAGCCGGTGCGCTTGATGGTCTTGAGGAACTGCTTGGGGATGATGGCGTCCGTGTCGATGTTCTCCTTCTCCATGGGCGCGGCGATGCCCTTGAGGGAAAGGAACTTGGGGAGGCCGGCGGCGGCGGTCTTGGGGAGGGAGGTATTGACCTGGGGAGAAGAGTCCAAGGGCTGGTCGGTGAGCTTGTCCTTCTGGGCGTCATCCTCCTCGATGCTCTCGTCGGCGTGGGCCCTAGGGCTGTGACCGGGGATGGTGGAGGTCTCGGGGATGATGGTGGCCTCGACGTGGGGGGAGGACTTGTACTCGGTCAGCTTGCGGACGTCGGCGAGCTTACCGACGATGGCGGCGGCGGCGGCCATGACGGGGGACATCAGGTGGGTGCGGCCCTGGGCACCCTGACGACCCTCGAAGTTGCGGTTGCTGGTGGAGGCGCAACGCTCCTTGGGGGAGAGGATGTCGGGGTTCATGCCGAGGCACATGGAGCAACCAGCCTCGCGCCACTCGAAACCGGCTTGCTGGAAGATCTTGTCGAGACCCTCGGCCTCGGCCTGGTCCTTGACGAGACCGGAGCCGGGGACGATGAGGGCGCGCTTGATGTTGGCGGCAACCTTCTTGCCCTTGACGACCTGGGCGGCAGCGCGGAGATCCTCGATACGGGAGTTGGTGCAGGAGCCGATGAAGACCTTGTCAACCTCAATGTCCTCCATCTTGGTGCCGGGGACGAGACCCATGTACTCGATCATGCGACGGCCAGCGGCCTTCTTGCCCTCGGTAGCGAAGGTCTCGGGGTCGGGAACAACGCCGGTGATGGGGACGACATCCTCAGGAGAGGTACCCCAGGTGACGGTGGGGATGATATCCTTGCCGTCGATGAAGACATCGATATCGTACTTGGCGTCGGCGTCGGAGGCGAGAGACTTCCAGTAGGCGACGGCCTTGTTCCACTCGTCGGATCCGTACTTGGGGGCAAGGGGCCTGCCCTTGAGGTACTCGAAGGTGATCTCATCGGGAGCGACCATACCGGCTCTGGCACCGGCCTCGATGGACATATTGCAGATGGACATGCGGGCCTCTATGCTGAGGCTGCGGATGACGGAGCCGCAGAACTCGATGACGGCACCAGTACCGCCGGCAGTACCGATCTGACCGATAACATGGAGGATGACATCCTTGGAGCTAACACCGGGCGCGAGCTCACCGTCAACCTGAACCCTCATGTTCTTGCTGCGCTTGGTGATAAGGCACTGGGTGGCGAGGACGTGCTCGACCTCGGAGGTACCGATACCGAAGGCGAGGGCGCCGAAAGCGCCATGGGTGGAAGTGTGGGAGTCACCGCAGACGACAGTGGTGCCGGGAAGGGTGAAGCCCTGCTCGGGGCCGATGACGTGCACGATACCTTGCCTCTTGTCGCTGAGGCCAAAGTATGTGATGCCGAACTTCTTGACGTTCTCCTCGAGGGTGACGCACTGCGTCCTCGAATCATCCTCCTTGATGAAGCTGCCGATATCCTTTAGCGTTTTCCTGGAGGTGGTGGGGACGTTCTACAGCGGGTCTGGCGTCAGCTTGGTTCCTACATTATCAATTGGGGGGTCAAGGTATCTAGATCATGGGCGCAAAAGCGCTGCACAATGCGCATTGATGGGAGGAAAACAATGCGACGACAGGATGCTTGAAACTTACGTGATCGGTGGTAGCGAGGGTGCAGTCTGGCCTGCGAACTTGACGTCCGGCGTTCTCGAGACCCTCAAAAGCTTGCTGTGTTGATAAAGGGGTCAGTACTGGGTTCAGTTTATTGCCAACTGCGAAATCGGAGCATCCTCGGCATTGGGCTCCAAAACCTGCATCAACGGCGCAAAACTTACAGGAGAGGTGACTTCGTGGACCAAGTGGCGGTCAATGTAGAGGAGAATGGTACCGTCGAGCTTCTCGTCGACGATATGGGCCTGGAAGACCTTGTCGTAAAGGGTGCGGGGGGTGCTTTCTGCTGACGGCATTGTGGCGGTTTTGTGTGTGAAGGCGGTCGGTGGTCCCCTGGTTGCTAGTGGTGGTGTAGCTGGGAATAAAAAGAGAGAGAGAGGGCGGGGTATATAACGGTTGGTGGAAGCAGGAGAGAGGTTCGTGGGTACGCTGCCAAATAAATAGGTCTGGTGTCGGGAGAACACCAAGTGTAGGTAGAGAGGGTATCCGTAAGGTAAGGTATTGGATGTATGTATGGGTAGGTTGGGAAACCGGCGTGGGGTTGTCTAGCTTCCGGTTCGGCTCTGGCTTTTATGTCTCTACCAAATCTCGGAGGCGGAACCGTATATCGGCGATGCTATTTGCTGTCCTTCTCGGCTCTTGAATGGTTGGCACTCTTGTTTCGGTTCTCGATCAACAAGAATACGAATTGTGATAATCCCGGGTATAAAGTCAAAAAGGGTATGAATTGGGATGTGGGAAAGATCAGATTGGGGAGAGGGTTGAGTTTCTAGAGGTAGAGAGACGGGAAGCAAAAGCGGGAAAGGAGGTGAGACTTTGAGACGACGACCGTGGCAAGAAAAAGCGAAGCGGGCAGGATACCGGGGCCTTATAAGTTTCTCCCCGTTTCAAGAATTGGGACCGATGATTGCGATGACTACAATTCGCGAATCTCTAGATACAAACCATCTGGAGTCAATCCAACCGATCCAATTGATCCAATTTCCCTGTTTCCCTGGTCGCCTGGTCTGGCGATCCGCTCGTGGCTCGATTTCATCCAGTCCTGTTGCGTCTTTGGCCGTACTTGCAAACAAAAACCGCCTGCGATACGGGACCTGGGGACCAAAAAGACGGGAAAAGCGACACTTGCCGCCGCAGGGCTGGGCGAAAGAAGCGGCCGATGTTCGGAGGGCAGCATCAAAGCTCCGGTTCACGGAATGCGGGGTGGGCTGGGTGGCCACTGTAATTTCTAAAGTGGTGTCGCCCATTGGCCGCGCTCCAAGATTGCCAGTTCCACACCCGCCCAGGCACGCACTGTCGGTCGCTGTGACAAACACACAATGACTGCACCGTGCAGATGCCATCCATCAATGTGTCAGAGAATGGAGCCCGGAATCCCGTTTTGGAGCTTTCCTTGCAACTTGCAAGGTGCTGACTTCGACCGCCGCCATTGGTGTCTCCCGTTGTCGGCCAACAACCGCTGCCACGTCGAGACCGGCGGGCCATCCTGATCCATGACGCTGCGGCCGCCTGCGGCATGCGACGGCTTGGGCGGTCACCACCAGAACTACGGGGCCACGGGGGCCACAACGGGGCTCTCCTGACGATGGAGTCCCGAACCACCTCATGGCCAGCGGAGGGTTCGGAGAAGGTGAAGGCATTCGAACAGGAGAGAATTCGCAAGACAATCTTTGTTTGTAGATCATCATATGATTTTACTCATAGGAATGGAACGAAGACACGCATTCCGTCTTCTTTTTGAAAGTAAGGATAATAATTCCTAAGGTAGGTAAAAGTTCCCATTCTGCTGCCCCTTGCTGTCCATCAACTCCGGTCTTCGGTATACCTCTCGCCGAGTACCTTGATGGTCCCACGACAGTCAGTCCACGGCAGAGAACCCAATTCGTTCCCGCTCCACCATCACCTTGTTCGCATCCTTGTGAATCATGACAATATTTCCAACACCGCCCTCACTCATTTCGATTTTCAGGTACGGATCCTCTTCGTGCAACTTGATACGTAAGAATATTCAATTGTACAAACGTACAAACTCCGGCGCAACCCCGAGTCTCCTGAACGACGTTCTTCGGAGTTTGAGAAAGGCGATAGGCGATACTCGATAGTACTGTAGTGTAGTAAATAATTTCATCTTCTTCCATCCCATGTCCCATCCCCCATGCTCACATCGCATGCTCTTCAATCTCAAAGGGGAAGCTCACAATCGCACTCATACCATACGTTCCACCCGCCCTCTTAAACGTCTCCACAGCCGAGAACACTCAACTATCAAACACGGTCAATCTTGTGATCACTCACAAACCCGCCAGCATTGCCAATCCTCCGATAATCGCCCTGGCCAGGCGGCACACAAGAACCGTGCCCCTGATCATCCACACCACAGCCGCGCCCGCAAAGAACACAAACAGCAGCGCAAAGATATAAACCACCACGTCTCCCAGCGTCGCCTGGCCCTGTGCGTACCGCTTGTGAAGCGGCGAGTCGAGATGAAACACCGGCCGTACAAATGCCCAGTACGCACAGGCAAACTGCCCTACAAACGTAACCACTACCGACACCACGATCCGCACTCCGACCGGCACCTCAAAACCCTGCCCAACCGATCCCGCCGCCATCATCGACCTGACAGGGAGTGCCAAGCCTGGGAAAAGCCGATACAGATCGTCCCTAGCCGCCGCCCCATCCTCTTGGCACGCCTGGGGTTCACTGGCTTTTGACATCCCCTCTTGGCTTCTGGAACGGCCGTCCATGTCTCCGCTGCCGTGGTCGGCGCTGTCCTTGAGCTTGTGACACTTCTTCATTTGTCCTGGTAATGACGTTACCAGATTTGCTCCCAACTCGGCCTTCATCACACTCTTGGCTGCTACCGTGGCTTCTACCCCAGCTTTCGTGTCTCCAGTCATGGCCCGTCCCGTGGCCGCTTCCTGTCGTCCGTGCTGACGGTGCTGACTCCTTGATGCCGGGTCCGATCCCGACGCCGATGCCGGGCTGCCCTCCGGCTTTGTTCTTTGGTCGGCTGAGTGTTGCAACAACGCAGCCCGCGCTGCTCCCTGCGCCATCGCCTGCGTGAAAGCTTCCATGTCGGCCGGACCTTGATTCGACGACCAGCTCCTCGACTTTGCCAGACTTGGCCGGTGCATGTAAGTGGACTTGAGTGGTGAAAGTCTCTTTCCATTTGTTACGTCTTGGATTTCCGGTTCCTTTCTCATCGTCTTGCGCATCTCGCGACCTGGCTGTTTCCGGGGACTGGGGTTTGACACGCGCCGAGAGGTTTTCACCTAATCCTCCGTGCGCATTGTCTCTATGATTGACGATGTAGTAACGCTGGCTGCTCTTGGTAACTCTTCTTGGGAAACTCGTACCAGATCTTCTGCCATCACTTCTGCAACACGGTCTGTGGTCAGTGATGCCGTCCAGCTGGGAGGACGATGGAGATCTGGTCTTGCGGGTTTCGGCGAGGCGTTCCGTTGCGTGCTGGGAAGGGAATCTAGCGGCGTCGAAGAGCCGTTCTTGGGTGCAACGATCGGGGACAAGGACGATGTCTGGTGTATCTGGTGTGACGACGAGATGGTTACGGACTTTGTCGTCTTCTGGACCTTGACCCCACTCGTCTCTGACGTCTTTCCTGCCTTTTGAGGGGGCTTGGCTTTGGGTCCCTCGCGGCAGGTTTCCTTTATGGCGGAGGGGAGCTGACGGTGAAGACTGGACTCGCAGCCAGTAATGGTGATGGTGGGTGTGCAGGCAGATTGGGGTTGTGGGAGGTGGAGCGCCTGGCCCAGTCCAGTGATGTCCTGGGCTACCGAATTCGCCCATGCCGTGGCTTCTCTGGTGCTGTCCCGGATGCTGCGCTCCAGGCCACCCAAATCCTCGATCAGCATGTTCGCCCATTGGCGGGCTGGGTTCAGGTTCGTGATGTCCAAATGCGGGTATGTAACCTCGCCGCTGCTGGGAACGGTTGTCATGGGGTTCCCTGGCAGCATCTTGCGTGGAATTGGGCGGCGATCTGGCACTGGGATCCTGGAGAACGGCTTCTTTGTCCCAATCTGGCCCTGGACGGGGCGGGTGTCCATCGGACCGGGACCCAGCCGCTGGTGAATCAACGGATGGAAACGTAACCGGGGAGACCTCGCTCTCGACGGGCATGAGGTCGCTGAATTTGGGCTTTCTCCTGACCGTACCATAACAGCCGTCCCCATCCCTAAAAAAGATTTCGAGGTGTGGCCGGTGGTAGCTGGCTCCCCCGCCTGAGCAGCCTCTCCACTCCTAATGCTTGGGCTCTGGCTCTGGACGATGGGGGTCAAATTTGGTGACGCCACGGAGGACCATTGCTCTGCTTGCTGGCCGAGTTTAGACCGCTGCCGAGGACTCGTCCGTTTCCCGACACCATGCCCCCTTTGCTCATTCTGAGGCGATCCATTAGGGGATGACTGGGGAGACATCCGACAAAACTCTGTCATGTCTATGCTCGTTCTGGGTGTAATATTGTCCAGCATCCCGGTATAAGGGTTCGCCCCTGTCACTCCGAGGTAGTCACTTGCTTCTCTTAGAATGCGACGTTGGCGGCGGGATTCTTGCTTTGCGAGGAACAGTGAGCGAGCTTTGTTATAGCCCGGCATCACCGACGGCATGAAGTTATGGGGATTAACAGTGCCTGTGTGAGCTGGAGACGGTATGGGAGGAGAACTGCGGTTTTGGTTTGGCACCGGTTTCCGCGATGGCATGGAGAAGGTAGGAATATTTCCGCTTTTCACTCGGCGTTCTCTCATGTTGGCCAAAGTCCCATCAAGTGATGAAATTTGGTTGTCGTCCCGATGATGAGTGGCATTAAGGCCGTCATCCGATCTCATATCCAACCTCGATGTGATCTTCCTAATAGGGAGAGGCGCCGCTTGATCGAGTTAGCCGTGGTCATGCTACTTTGAGCTCTCTCGGGGAGGCAATGGGATGTACATACCTCTAACCCTTGACTTGCCACTGACACTGGTCGCTCGTCGAGGAAGCGCCACAGGAATATTCCAAGCTTCCGACACAATGGTATCCGGTGTACTCGGGGTATGGCAATGGACTTCAGCCTGGCCAGAGTCCGTACTCTTGCGCCTTAGTCTGAAAAGATTCTGAACGTTGGTGGTACGCGGCTGCATGACACTCGAGGCTCTCTTCTCTGTCATGACCTGATCGATCGTCTGGCGCTCGTGATCATGGTGCCGGAGAGTGAAGCCTTGCTCGGGACAATTGCTAGGCCGCAAACTGTGAAAGAAGCCCTTGAACGAGGCAGCAATGTTCTTCCGACTTGAAGAGGATCCGGCACTCTTCACTGATGCTGCCTTTCTAGTAGCCTCTGGAGGGCGCGGCTTGCTAGTGCTGCCAGGCTTTGAATACGAAGCTCGTCTGCCATTGACATCTCTGTCTTCGCATGGGATTGATGTCGCTGGCCAGACCTGAGCAGCTGGAACTGGCGGTTGTCTGTAGATGGGACCTGGCCAAGAAGTTGCGCCATCGAAGCGTAGTGGTGGTGGTTGACATGAGTGTGATGGGTGGGTTTGGTGAGAGGCCATGGTCTGGCAACTGATGCTGCCGTTCGGTCAAGCTCCGTTGTACCGATTCCTCTACCAGAGATAAAAAGAGACAGGCTCGCAAAAGAAGTGGCCTTTCCCAAAGCCTAGCTGTTTTACTTGGTCAAGACCATTGGCAGATTGCTGGGCGGAATTTCGGCCAATATGGAGAGCACGAGTAAAGATATGATAATACTAACCGCGAGTGACGGGGGAGAAAGAAAATGAAATAAGATCGCAAGTAAATGGATGAGCAAGGTTGTCATTGGGCAGATGTTTCATGCCTCTACCTGCCTTCCATCACAAACGTGGAAGGAGTGAATACTGGACGGGAGTCCGGAAGCTCTTTCCTCTTCAATTTGTCGTTCAAAATTGTCACGCCACGAAGTAATCACGGAAGGAGGGCTGGCGGCCTGGACTTACACGGATCGTGCCTTCCAACCTACAGTACGTTTTATTTCCTGAAGGGCAAAGAACATTCTGACAGTCAAATTCGAGTTCCAAAAAAGAATGAGACTGAAAGAATGCTTTTGAAGTGAGTTCACCATTGTATGGTGCGATCAATTTGTATCAACCTAGACAGAACGCCAAATTATGTGCTTAGAAGTAAGAATACATTCTCCTTCGAGTCCCCCATCCTCCAACAGATTCACCCACTGCCTCCCTTCTTTGATATGATAGATGTAAAGTTCAAACTACCTCCCCCAAAACGCCATTCGTTCGCAAGAAACAAAACTCCAAATGTTAATACATCATGACAAGGTCACATTTCTTTTCAGTCTCTAAACTTCCAACCCGTCCTCTACCTCCTAGTAGGAAACCTCTCATGCGCCCACCTATTCGCTCTAGCATTATTCAACGTAGCCGGCGAATGCGGCTGCACATACGAGCTACCACCATCCATACTACTAGCACTATCCCTCCTATCCATATCCACATCCCCGTCCTCATCCCTTAGGCTCGAAGCCACCGATGACTTCCTGGGCGGCGTCCCACTACCGGCGGCGGAATAAATCTCAGTCTTCAACGGACTCGGCTTCACCGGGCTATGCTGTCTGATTAACCTGTCCGCTAGATCCCGCTGTTCCAAAGCTGCCATCTCGCGGCCGTTGCGGGGTGAAGGCGCGTCGGTGCCTGTGCTTGCTGTTGCTCGCTTTTTGAGGGGGGAGTTCATGTGCTGGTAGACGCCTAGGCTGCCGCCACCTGCTCTGACTCCAGGATATGGGGTGGTGCCGGCGTGGGCGACCTGGCGTTTGCTAGTTGATGGGCGGGCGACGGTCGAGGATGGGGTGCCGTAGGTGGTGCCGTAGCTACTTTGACGGATGAGGGTCGGGGTGCGAGTGGTGGTGGTACTGGCTGAGGAAGGCGCTACTGATCCGAAACTAGGTCTGCCGGGGATGGGTTGGGGTGTGTAGGGTCGTGCGGGCGTCGAAGCGTCGGTTTGTTCTCTCTGCTTGAGGACGCCGTCGGGGTCAAAGTGCTTGGTGTAGTTCGGGTTCGGGTGCGTTTCGAAGCCGCGGCGGATGATGGTCGAAGGGGTGCCGATAGCTACCGATTCTTCCTCCAAAACGTCGTCGACTATCGACACCTGCGTCGCTACCTCGCGGTAGATCGGATAGACGCGCGGGTGCACGTACTTGATGTCGTATTCGTGCATGACTTCGCGGTGGATGATGTTCATGTCCTTGGACTGCTGGGTGAAGCGGGAGTTCAGGAGAAGCATTTGGGCCGTGAGGAGGAGCTGGAGGACAAGAGCTTTGAAGACGGTCACGCTCGGGCACGGGTCGAGGGCCGTCATAGGGAGGAAGAGCATGTAGATAAGGGCGTGGCCGGGGCTAAAGAGACAGAAGATACGCAGCGTTGCCGGATACGGGTCCCAGACAGCCACTTCCCATACATCGCGTGTCTTGTCGGGGTGAGCGCGCGCCTCGGCGGATTCGCCTTTCGCAAAGTTTTGGATGTATCGAAGGGGCGTTGGTGTGGACGGCGAAGAATCGACTCGGACGCGGTGCGCAGAGGGCGTTGACGGGCCTTGAGTTTCGACGTTCGCTTCGAATAATCGGTAGTGACGCGATCGCGTCATGGTGTAGAAGGCATTGAGGCCAGAGATGGGGATCAGTGTCCAGATGAGGAAGTTAACCTGTCGCATGCAATCAGCATTATTTCTCAAATGCTGTAGGGGTGTCTGCTAAAGTAGTGAAGCCTAACTTACCAATGCCTTCGTAAAGCCACTGGAAGGGGCATCCGAAAAGACATCATCGTCGACAACTCCTCCACCAATGTTTCCGTTCGCTCTCGCGAGTAGGAAAAGGAAGTTCGCAACCAGACCGAACCAGGTACCGAAACTTGTCGAGTCCCAATCGAAGCTTTGGATTTCTTCGGATAACCAGATATAAAAGTCTATTGGGTTGAGAAAAGCTTGTATCCGCTCGGATAGCGGGCGCTGCCGCACCAGGCGACGAGGTGCTGGAGGCATGTCGGACTGTGATGATGATGATGATGACGATGTTTTGGTGATGAAAGATTGCGACAGCGCAGAATTGATGCTTGGGGCCGTTTCCCACTCGGTAGTGTGTTAAGGTGAAAGATTCAGGAGGATTGTGCGCAATGTTGTGACCGGTTTTGCGCAATCCTTGGTTGTGTGTTGTATGGTGAAAGGGCCCCCAGGCTGTGCCCGAATTGGATCGAAGGTTCAGTTGGTGAAAGAATGGTGATTTCTTTATTGTTTACTTTTTGCATGTTGGTTGCTCGGGACGCGGGTCGGGAAGTGGACTGAAGCTCTCCCCCGTCAACATGACCCCGGTCGGCGGTCGCAGAAAGAAGTTGGAACCAGTGGCAGGCGCAACCGAGAATTTAGGGAGCCCCATCCTTTACAGTGGAGTTTTTCAGAACCTGGCATGCTGGAAAGAGGGGTGGGTTTGGGGTGTGACAGTGGAGCCGCTTTAGCGCTGTTGACTGTGAGTGGGGCCTGGTGGGATCCAGTTGCGGTTGGTCAGAGCTCCAGTCCGTCCCGTCATCCTGGAGTACCTGGATGGACGACGACAGCCGACGTCGACATCAATCTGTCTGCCAATACGACCGCAACCACAACCCGCGCAGGCTGGCCTTGACATTCCCTACCGACGACAATCCGAGAATCCAATATTGATCGCCCATCCCCGAGATTGAGTACAATTATCGCCAGTCACCCAGGTTCCTGTTGTCGCATAGCTCTCGCTCGTTCCCCGACCCACACCGACGACGAAGCCCATCATGGCGGCTTCGCAAGCAGACGCTAAGGACCGTCAGTTCCTGGCTGTGATAGGAGATGAGGTCAGAATGGCTTTTGTCCTTGTGTTTACATTTGTCAAGGGGCTAATAACCATCTAGGACTCCGTCACCGGACTCCTCCTCGCAGGCATTGGCGTAGGTTCCGCATGCTTCTCTTCGGATGATATGCGGTAGCAGGGTTTCTAATGCGCAACTCTCGAAACTATAGCACGTTACGGCTCCCCCAGACTCGCAAAAGAACTTCCTTGTGGTGGACAACAAGACGGAGAATGCCACTATCGAGGCGGCCTTTGAGCGCTTCACGACCGAGAGAAAGGACATTGGCATTATTCTGATTAACCAACATGTAAGTGTTGGTCTTGTGGATTGGACGGGAACATGTTTAGATTATCATGTTCTGTTAGTATTCTTTCAGATGGTTGACTGACATGGAACCCACGGTATAGATCGCTGATAGGATACGGCACCGAATCGACACCTACACCGCGGCCTTCCCCACCGTTCTCGAGATCCCGAGCAAAGACCATCCTTACGACCCCGAGAAGGACAGTGTGCTCCGCAGAGTCCGTCGTCTGTTTGGCGAATAAACGTCTTGTTACCAGTTGAGCATGGACATGATGAACGGGGAAGGAATGACACGGCATGGAAGGAAGGAATGGAAGCAATCAGATTCATAGGGGCATAGCGAGCGAGATGAGAAATGTCCACGACATCACATCACAGCAGCGGCGCGCAGTACGGAACTTTTTTTGTTGCAAAAGGAACTCAGAATACCTATAACGAAGCAGAACGTCAAGAATGGGAATGTTACCCTTAAAAATGTTTTACGCCCTAAGCATGCTTGAGAAGAAGCAGAGACAGTCTCAGACAATAACAACAAAACTACTATACGCAAGAAACAAACTCCAGTACTACCATAAGCAAAACCCATACAAATGATGCTGCCGTGCAAAATGCCATCAATCCGCAAATCATTAATCCATCATGTGTGCAGTCTTATCTCATCCAATGTTGTGTGTAAAAACATGCCATATCCCGTTTATTGACCGTCAAACTCGCTCCGCTCGGTTTTTGAAACCAGATCAGATCAGACCAGATCAGAGATCGTCAAAGAAGCCAAGAGTCTTGCGGCCAAAGGTAACCTGGGCGGTCAAGCAGGTGATGTGCTTGTCTTCCTTGGTGTAGACATCGGCATCAACAGTGTACTTGCCCTGCAAGTGAACAAACAGAAACATCAATGTCAGCGAGTATTCCCCATCAAGATAGCAGTTTCAAGAGAGGGAGTATGGGGGAAGACGTACAGGTGGGATCTCCTTGGGCAGTTCAACGTTCTTGGTAATCGAGATTCTGCCCTTCTCAATGGGGCATTCAAGCTCCACGTTCTTCATCTCCTTGCACAGGTCGGCAGTGGTGCTGATCAGGCGGATGTAGCCGTACTTGACTGACAAGTTGACGTACGCGCCCTCCTCGATGGCCTCCTTGACGATACCGGACGCTTCGATGGTCAGGGTCTGACCGCTGTAGTTGAGAAGATGATTAGCATTCATTCTGTCTGTGAAGTGGGTTAAAGATGGTGGAAGAAATGCGACATACGCCTCAGGTGGGTTTGGTGTCAGGACGACCTCCTCGATGGTGATGATGTCGTCTTTGCGATCGGCCGCGGCATCGCAGAACTTCAAGGGCGACTTGCCGGGAACGTCGAGCTCATCGTTGGCGGAAACGCTGTTCTCGCGGAAAACGCTGAGAGCGGTGGCGCTCGTGGAAAGGAGAGCGATGACAGCTGCGGAAAGCCTCATGGTGATTGATGATAGTACCGATTCACGGTCGGTGGTGATGGTGTTCGGTGCGGAGGTGTGTTATGGAGACCCAGAGACGGGATGGGGGGAGGAGGATGTGAATGACTTGGAAAGCGGGGAATGTTAAGCGCCGTCCACCGCCGAGACAAGTTGTGTGTTGAGTTTGATGTCGGCAACGAAGATCTTACGACGAGTCAAATCGGAGTGGCAGTTGTTTACAAAGTTAGATGTCGTTGATGGAGACTCTCCAAATGATACCTTTTGTTACCAGGAACGGGAAGCAGCCACAGCGAACAGACGGAGGCAGTCAACTGATGGCGAGCAAGATAAACTGGCGTTGATGACTGGTTCACTGGTGAGGTTGATCCCGGCTACGGACGCGGCACCACCACACTGCATCAGGAAAGATGGACGGCCTGTGGAGGTCACTGGTTGGCCCAGCCGATTGAACAAGCTCGTCTCTGGCACTTTGCGCCTATGCAGGCTTCCCTCCTCTCACAGCGAAGCAAGCGAGAGACGTCATCCCCATGACGGCGAATGGCGGGTTCGATTTGCCCCAGCCTGCGGCCAGCCTTCCCCAACTTTCTTTCCCCCTTGTCTTGTTTGGGTCTTATCATGTGAGTTGCGGTGGATCCACTGTATGTGCAATTCGACCAATCACCATCGAGACGCTGCGGCAGCGCCGCTTCCTGAAGCATCGAGTTCTTGGTTCTCCTGTCCAAGGACCTTCAATCTTCGTTGCTGTGAGCTTGGAAATGACGATGCCATATCGGTTTCCCATCCTCAGCTTACGTGTACTACACTCACCGCGATGGACGACAAAATAACGTTACTTTTACCGACAAAAGATTTCCGCTGTAGTCTTTCCGACAAGATCAGCCCAGAGATGAAGCCCTTTGAGATTGTTGTGCCCACTGCCTAGAGGCTGAACACTGGTCGACAACTCTGCAGTTTCCAGCACCCCATTTTCACCAAACATCGATATCAGACGACGAACCGACTGCCTGACTGAAATCGCATACGTGGTACTTCGGGTTCAAATATGGGTTCCTAGAGTATGTTTCGGGAGCGTTGGATAGCTTGTTTGTCCCTGCGTGACAACATCGGCTATGGGGGCAGCTGTGTTGCCATGGTCTTGCCGACGCAGCGATGATTGTACGCATTTGGAACAAGTTGGATGTCGCCAAAAAGATACAGTTTACAACACATCCTCGAGATTTTATATCGCGATGACAATGGCCGTGATTTCGCGCAACCGGGAAAGCAGATAGGCACCGTATCTTTCTAGCCTCGGGCAGATGTCAGACGCACTTGATTCAGGCTGGGTCAGGGATCGTTGATATGTGTTTCCGGGCGTATCACTGAAACGGGAATGATCAGGACGAGGAGTTTCGCTCAGTCGTTCGGAAGCTTGCAGTCGTCTTCATCGGTTTCGGAGTTGTTGGGCGAGGTGATCCTGCTGTAAGAAAAGATGAAGTTCAACAACAATCAGGCCAAACGACGTTCAGCATAGGAGGTGTAAGAGGGAAGAGAAGAGAATCGAAGAAGAAAAGGCCAAAGGACAAGCGATTGTGACGGATGGGTGTGATCAGATGGAGCACGGTAAATAAAAAGGAGCAGATTGCAGAGTTTCATGCGCAGGCTGCGCCTGGCTGAAGGGTCCCACCGTCCAATGTGATGAGAGAGACATGACAACATCGATTGCAGCGCGGACGAGTAACAACCGCAGCAGCGCCGAAGCATTGCAATCATACTCTTAGAAAACCACTTTGTACGAATAAGTGCTAGTGTCAACACGGCCCACGACTTCGATGATTCGCGCAACTCGACACTCACCACCAGCCAGCCAAACAGCCGTTTCCCAACACTCAACAGTGCCACCGAGGTGACTTGGGTCAGATGCCAAGGTTGCCCGAGTTGAGCAAAGGCGAGTATAATCCGGAGCTGGTTTCCAGAAAAAGCGTGATCGTCGAGCGATATAAAAGGCGTCATGAAAATAAGGGCCATATCGATAGTAGAAATTCAAGAGGATTTCAAGTTGGTCGTTATCGAGACCTTTCAGGTTCAGGCTCAGGTATCTTGAGTTGAGAGCGCCAAGCTGGAAGATCGCCATGACATTGGCTGGTGGACTTTTGCTGACTCCTGCCTGTCGCGGGCGGTTGCGGTTGGATGACACCCACGTCGAATCTCCGACGCTCACCACTCATCTTCCTCCTAGGCGACAATAAACTGGGGCGCAGATGCACGCCCCTAAAAACAGGAGTCCACCGTCTTGGGGCTGCTCTCAAAGAGAATGATGAACGCAATCCTTCCCAGCTCTTCCAAATGGTTTCAATCTTTGGGTCCATCTCGAGAACGGGAGTTTTCCGGTTGTGTGTGGCCCTCTTGCGAAACCTCCCCTGCCCGCGCGCGCATGTTCCTCAGATCCAATCCGTCGCTCTTGAACGGATTGTCACCGGCGTCAAGAATGCAAAATCTAGAGTAAAATTGTCCACCTGTGGTTTGTATTCCCCACAATATTCGATATAAGACCCAGAGATACCAGGAAAGGCATGTACAGAGACTGAGTGCTGACATTCAAACCCGATGTTCTTGTTATTGTTGCTGCTATCAACACTCCCTCCCATGGGCTTTTCCCGTTTCCGGGACACAACCCCGTTTCTGTTGCCCGCTGCGGTTATCAGTCAGGTACCTGACCTAACACCCAGCTACACACATACTCTTTGGGAATCACGCTGGCTGGCGTTGTGTCAACTCTCATTTGGATGACTTTGCCCATGACGGATCGGTTCTCGCGACTCAGCTCCTGGGCGGTCTTTGGCGCCTCCTAACCCTGGGCCCAAGGGTTGTCCACGAGGTTCTCACGTCTGGGCCTCCATAATCCATGATGGCCACTTGCGCAAATGGTCTCAATGAACCGCCGTACAAATCCATTCCGCCTTCGGCCCTCGCGACGCGCCAGTTTTTGACGGAACTCTTTCAACCCTTCGGCTTTCCACCTTGCCAGTCGCACCCCGCCCTCCCTTCCCGACGCCCTTTCCTTTCAGGTCCCGTCCTCCTCGTCCCCCTCCACTCTGGCTGGCTGTTCGATCGACAATTCGGCATGCAAACATTACAAAGCTGCATGCTTTTACTTCATACCATATCGCCTATCGGTCACAGCACTGACGTTTTATTTCCATTTCCATTTCTAATCCTCCCCTGCCTTGAGCTTAGTGGCTCGGGCCGGACTCTTCGGTTGCGTTCTTTTTCTCCGTTGATATCACACTATGGCGGCCATGTACCTGATGGGGACTGTTCTTATTTTCGCAAACAGCCAAGCGTCACCTACAAACAGCCGCTTCCTTGGTTGAAGGGCCCCATAGTGGCTGCTGCGAACCACCCAAGGCGGTCTAGAAACACATCGGGGCAGAGTTAAGAAAGTGGTTGCGCTAACAATTTCCAAGGCCCGCTGGGCAGGGCGAAAAAGACACGCAGCAGTGCTGCGAAACAGCTGAGCGAAACAGGACTGCAGAACCAGGAATCCAAGAAAACAAAACCGCCGGCAGCACGTCCACAGCCCACTTGTACCGGCAGCTCCATGTCGCCCGCACCGAGGACGCCCACACAACAAGGCCCATGGAAGGTCAAAAATGGTCAATTTCTTTCGATTTGGGGGATGGCCTGTGCCACGAGGGGAATCCCACGGCTGCCGTGGGCTGCGACGTCTGATTGGCCCGTGCTGCTGAGCACTGCAGCGTGCCTCCAGTCTTGCCCGTCTTGGGCGTGGTTGCTCTTGACTGCCTCCCCTCTGCACTTGCACAAGAAAGAGCGTGAGAGGGCCACACACACATTGGCAGTGGCAGAGGTTGGAGTTCCCCCCAGTCCCGGTCGCCGTCCCAGGCAATTCCCATTCCCACTGCCACCAAAAACGAAGGTGCGCAAGAGGAAGCACTCCAGCTGCAATGCTGCGACCGACTGCGACAAGGCGACGGGAGACTGGACTGCGAGTGCAGCCCGCCCAGCGCCCGCCTTCTTCCTCCCTGAGTGAGACCCCCAGAGCCAGACACCTGCACTGAGGGCCGCCCGCGGGCAGCGGACAGAGCGATTGCAACCAGCACGCCAGCGCCAGCGCCAGCCCAGAGTCAGACCTGTGAGTTGCAGGACTGGAGAGGGCAGAGGTCCCGGTTAGAGTGCGGGTGGGCCCCCTCTCCCTCGCTCGCGCACCCGCACTTCCACTTCTTCCCATTCTCACACTCGGATTCCGTTCCTCCCCTTCAAACTCTTCCTTCTTCAGTTTCTTTGATCCGCTTTTTCTTGCCCCCCTTCGCTCGAGACCTGGACCACCTTACCTATTCATCTCTCGCAACAGTCTTGATCAGGTTTCCACTGCATCATTCCTCGACCGACTTCCCATTTTCGCGCACACGATTCAAGCTGGCCGACTTTGCCTTTCTTTGTCCCCCGAGGCGCAATCTACTCTCTTCTCGATAAATCCACCTCGTCGTCGTCACCGTCGTCACCCACCACTGCGTTTCCTCCTCGCTTTTGGTTTTGACGCTCGCCATTCCACCTGACCAGAAGACCACGATTCAGATCGCGAGAGCGACCTCAACCTGACGCCCAATCCATTCCTCCTCTGGAGAGTTGGTTTCTCGATCTAGGCTTCGACTGTGATTGACGCCACCCCGGGCTCTCACTTGAAACTCGATTCGACCCTCCTCGCCAGTTCCGACGTGTGCTTCCTCCCGACCGAGCGATCCGCTGCCGACTCCTAAATCCTGGCCAGTCCAAACGACAAACGGGCAATTCCATCGAGGGCCGTCTCCAACGGATGAAAGCCCCGGCTTTCTCGCCATTTCGTGCTCGTCTCTCTGGTCGGAATCAATTGCGTTGGACAGCGCGCCAGCATGCCCTTCGACCCAGAAAGATAATCCGTCAACAATACTCTCCCGATACCCTACCGAAACCGCCGTCCCGAGGCCTCTCATAGATTATGACCGACAAGCTGCCGTCATTGCTGACGCCAATCGCGCCTCCTAGTCGGGCTCCATTCTCCGTCGCTGCTGCCGTCCCTGCCCAAGATGGTACACGAACGCAGGAGAATGCTGAGGAAGAGCCGTACACCATCAGGTGTATCTGCAAATATCCCGACGATGACGGAAACACCATTTACTGCGACCGATGCGATACGTGGCAGCATATAGAATGCTATTATCCCAACAACTCTGAGGAAGCTCTCCGCAATCCAGACTTTGCACACCTCTGTGTCGAGTGCAAGCCAAGGCCCTTGGATCGAGAGCGAGCCAAAGAGAACCAGAGGCGCAAGCTTACTGCGGGTGTCACGGCAGGAATGACCGACAAGAAGACCAAGCGTCCTCTCTCAAAGAACCACAAGAAGAGGCCGAAACCGAGCGACCTACCATTGACTGGCCAGCACTCCAAGGCCGAAAAGCATGTCACCACGCAAGACAGTCACGCTGCTCCACCAAAGAAATCGAAGAGCTCGCACAAGGCTAGTCAATCAATCAGCTCACAAGCTTCGAAACGCAGCCCACAATTCGGCAACACCAAGTCCAACCATGCTCACCCTCCTAGCCCTGCGGCGACGCCGCCTGATTTGCCGGCCGACTTTGAAATACATACATATGCCCCAGCGTTGCTATCCGACTCCAGCGACCGAGGTGTCGAGATTGTGCACACCAATAGCTTCGCTAGCCTCCAGGTGTCAAATGCTATCTCGGCTTGGCTACGAGACCACAACAAACTCCAGAAAGAGACAGGCTGGGCCTACGATGACATCTTCCAACCTCTACCCCCGAACATTGATCAGCTGAAAAGGCCGGTGGATATTGAGCTTTCACGCAAGACCCTCGGTCAAGGCATCGTCGCTTCCTGGAAATGCCTCAAAGCGCCATCGCCTATCGCTCATAACGTCCCTCTCCTGGAGCTGAATGGGCAGATCGGTATTCAAAGCAGTTACTGCGCAGATGCCGATAACCGGTACCAAGAGCTGACCTCCCCGCTTCCTTATGTCTTCTTCCATCCCATGCTCCCAATCTACATCGACACCAGGAAAGAAGGCTCCCAGGCTCGCTATATCCGACGAAGCTGCAGGCCTAATGCCATGCTCGAAACTTATCTTTCGGACAGCTTTGAACTTCACTTCTGGCTTGTAACAAACAGACAGGTCGCCGCTAGGGAAGAGATCACACTGCCCTGGGACTTCCGGTTTCCCAACGAGAACAAATCACGGATGCTCCGGGTTTTGGGACTTCCTGACGAAGACACGTCTGCCCACACTGATTCTTCTGTTGATGATCTGGAATACCAGGGGCTTACGAGCTGGCTGCATAGCATTCTCTCCGAATATGGAGGATGTGCGTGCAACCTTGGGTCAGAATGTGCATTTGCTCGGTTCCATCGGAATCATTTGGGCAAATCACAGGCGCCAACGAACCCACCAAAGACCAAGAAGCGAAAAAGCAAAACATCAAGTACGTCCACCGCCGTCACAGCACCAACAACCGACAGTCGAGCAGCAAGTGAAGGCCACCTTGAGGATGCTCCCGAAAATGATCGCCGCTCAGTGTCTGGCTCATCACGGAGTAAGCCTCCAAGCCGAGACCTTACCCCCACGGCCCGCCAGGGATCATTCGACACTCTTGGGATATTGACAGAGCCGACCGATCGGGACAAGCGGAAAGTTTCCATGATCGAAGAGACCTTCCGCCGGATAGAACTACAGCAACAGCCCACAAAAAAGCGGAAAGCGCGCGGTTCCGATGCGGCTACTACCTCCAAGAAAGGTAGCAAAAGCAGCGCGGCAACCCAGACAGCAAATACGACAAATGGAGCCGATGAGCGCCACTGCCACTTTGCCGATGCTGGAACAGCAACTACCAGCAAAGCAGCATCGCCAGCAGCAAGTGCGAAATCTTCTCGCGTCACTAAATCGAAGAAGACTAGTTCTAGGAAAGGATCTGTCGCCGTCGTTTCTCGTACTATTCCTGCACAGCCAGCTCGCTTGCAGGCTCGCCCTAAATATGCCGACGCTACTACTCAAACAACCCCCGACACTGAGGCCAATCCCGCACCCCCACCAGCGCGACCGAAGAGGAGGTTAGTTTCGGTGACTGAGCGCATCATACAACATCATCGATTCCTGGAAAAGCTGCGTGAAGAGCAGCGTCGCAAGCAAAACTCGCTTAGCCAGGCGGCTGCTCCCGTCCCGATGGAGGTGGACAGCCCAAAGGAAAACAAGACTGCAGCCCCAGTTCCTGGTTTGGTTCAGGATAAAACTTCGGAACCCAGTGTACCCGTCAAGGCCGCCACTCGTGATGTCGAAATGCCTGACGCGCCCGCTGTGCCAGCGAGTCAACCGAAAGCCGAGAAGCCTTCCGTCGTCGCTGTTTCAAAAAGCAGACCCGTGGACCTGAAGGTACCTCTGCCACCTGTCCCGTCCTTCCCAAGCTCAAGCTCCTTGGCCTCGGCCTCCACCACTCCTTTTTCTGCGGTGACCTCGGTGGCACAGTCACCATTTTCAGTTACTGGCCTGCCAAGTCCCTTCGGGCCGCCGTCTGTCAACAGTCTGACTGCGAACCCTAGCCCAATCAAGAAGAAGTTGAGCTTGAGTGACTACACCAAAAGCAGGATGAACAAGGCTGCGGCAGCTCGCCCGTCGATTAGCGTGCCCTCTCTGAAGCCCATTCCTGCTTTGGATGAGCCGAAGTCGACCACCAGTGACGACAATGGTGGAGCTGCCTCAGGTTCTCCAACTACGGAGAAGGTGGCTGATGCGACTGGCTCGACCACCACCGCTTCGATATTGGCAACTGCGAGCAGCGCTGTGTAAGAAGTATATAGACTAGGGTCTTCTCGTGTATGGATTAATGGTGGAGGATGTTTCGAAGTATTTTCTATTAGCGGCTTCTTACTCGGTGTTCTCTGGGTTGAGATTCGGGTCTGAAACTCCGGCATTTGAAAGAAGCAGCCAGGTCGCTGTTAGGTCTGGCCCGATTGCGATATAAAGTTTTATCCTACCTTTTACGTTTCTTCACAAAATGGGTCTGGCGGCTGGTGATATAATCAACGTGGCGTTTGGGGATATTTTTTTCTTTCGTGGTCCGGAAACTGGGTTTCGTGGGACGGCTACAAAACAAGCCTGGGTTCCCCGTACTGGTTGGGAGGTTTGTGAAACTGGGTCAGGTTTGGGTTCACAGCGGCTGGTCTTCCATGATACGGGTTGGCTGGCTGGTTTTCTGGGGGGTTATTATTTTTATTTTTTGCCTGCTATGCGTGCGAGGAAGGACACATGAAAGAGGAAGACAGGGATGAGATGATCAAAAAGGGGAATGCACACAACACACCAACGTCACTGGAATTCTTGGTCAAAATCTTTGGATGGGTATATCAAAGGACTCGTTCCCCCTTTTTTTTTCCCGCCCACTCTTGGACTTTGTTTTGACTTCTTTTCTTGCGCGCTCTCTCTCTCCACCCCCCTCTTCTTTTTATGATGAACACAACGGATGGACGGACAAACGGATGGATGGATCAACGGCTTTTTTATTTATTTTTACGCCCTTACTACGCTACTCATGCAATTAGTGATAAACGCTTCGCCAAGGAGGCAGCTGAGGCACTCATTTGAAAATCTTCGAAATGTTCAAAGAAAGTTCAACGATACCTTTGCTCTGTACTGTACCATTTTGCTTTTGTAGTTGTGGGGGATTAGTACAGACAGTTGTTGCTCTCTAGTCTAGCCATGTAAACAAATGGACCTGGAGTGTTATGAGAAGAGAAAATGAAAAAGGAAGATTGATGGTGTACATTCGCTGTTATCATGTGTCTATCTACCGTCGCCCCGACTCTTGTTCTTCGGTGAATGTCATGATATCACGTCCAGATATTGTGGTTGTATAAGGTTAGCTCTCTCAGATAGATAAGTAGCTTCGAGCCTTGTACTGTAATCATGGTATAAAGTGTAGGTGTCTGCTATACTAACTGGTTCAGATCGTTTTTTCCCCCCTAGGAAGTCTCAAGGCACTCACCGCCGCTGACGGAGACAAGACAAGACTAGTCAGTACTGACTGTGTACGAAGTACGAAGGAGACCTTCCCATACCTAGCTTACACTACCAAGAGACATTTACGTTTCAGTCTAAGACTCGGATACCCCCCTCCCTCCTAAGAAAAAAAGGGGAAAGGAAATACAAGAAGAGGCAACGGTGACATTTAATTCACTCACTGCAGACAGACACCGCATGCACTTGATACCCAATCTATGTATTATCTGACTATCTATCAGTGACAAGAAAGACACTCGAGGAGTCTGGTGCGGTCCTGTCAAGCTTTGTACAAATTCGGTCAAGTCGGCCAAGTTGAGCGGAAACTAAACTTATCACGAGTGGTTAGAGGGTATACCTACCTAATGAATGAATGAGGGTTTGCTTTGAACTAGACTCGAGAATACTACTACCACTACATTATTTATAGTCTACGACTTATCCCAAACTAATGATCCGAAGTACCTATGAACCGAAGCACCTATGAACCGTAGCCCGTAAAGTGTGTGAAGTGTAAAGTGTGAAGTGTGAACCGATCTGCCGAAGTGGTGTCGGGTTCGTGTCCCGTTTCCATCCCGTTTCCACCCCATCCCGTCTTCTCCTTCCGGTTGGGAGGGGAGGGGGGCGAGCCGGTAAGGGGATAAAACTTCCCCAGTCTAGCCGCACCAACGAGAGAGAGTTGAACTCGGCTCGGCACAGAGTGAGTGACACTCGAGTGACAAGAGGACACTGATTAATTGATAGGTGGGATTCTGCCTTGGACATTCGATATGGCTTGGATATATATGCACATGTACAGAAGAAAAAAGACAATAATGCCAGCCAAGGAAAAATCGAGTGACACACCAACGGACCAAACGACTTGCCGGACGCCAAATCGACACTGTCGATAAATGACCCGACCAAAAACAAAAATCATACGAACCATACAGCTAGCTACATTTCAACATTGCCACGCTTTGTCGTTCGATCTCTTCAGTTTCTAGGTACAGATGCACACGCAGGTATTGACTACCTAACTAAGTGGCTTGCGCAAAGCACACTCCCCCACCACATACCTAGAGCAGACAGCTCACACACACAGGACGCCGCAGCACTTCATCGCCCCAGATATACATACAGTCCCAGACTCGTATGATGTTGCTGTATATATCACTCAGAATTGTCTTCCCACAGTTTCACACTTGTCGTCCTTCAATTCCTCCCTTTGTATGTTCCAGTTGTCCCTCATAAACACAATGTATCTGAACCCTCCTAATCCCATCGAACAAATACGCCTATAGTATTCTTACTTCACCTTTTGCTTCCAACTCTTGAGAGGAGATCTTCGATCAACTAACTGCACTCGACAACCAACAGATAACGACAAACAGCACGACCTCAACCACATCCAACCAAACGTATTCCGGGGGTATATCAGGGGTATCTCTCTTTTAAGCACAACACTTCACGACACCTTTCCTTGTCTCCCTCACTGATTCCCCGGGCCCGGTTGATGAGGGTACTGCATCTGCGCCGAGTAGTTCGGATTGAACCCTCCGAAAGAGCTCAACTGCACCAGATAATTCCAATCCATGTGCGAAATATCCATATCCATCGAGCCCGCTGGGGTTGGCGCTGACGGTCCTGTCCCGAACATCTGGCCCATTCCGGTGTTATCGAAGCCTCCATTTGGCGACCCAAACATCATCGAGTCGTTCATCATCATGTTGGCTGAGCCCATTTGCTGCGGTGACGTATCCGTCTGTGGCGTTTGCTGCATCGGTTTGGGTGTGGTGTACATGCCCGTCTGCATGTTAACACCAGAAAACCCATGATGGCCCGCCATGCCCGCCATATCAGGAGGTATGGATGCCGCGGGCATCATTCCTGGCGGCGTAGCCGAGTTGGGTACGGACTGTCGTGGATCCGATGAAATTGACATGCCGCCACCAACACCGCCAACTGGACCACTACCAGCTTGGGGAGGGCTGTTTGGTCGTTTGAACTTGGCTGCCGTATTGCGCATCAGAGTTACTATTTTCGGCGTCTGTAGATGCCGTCCTAGCTGGTTCTGCGCCGCCTCGTGGGCATCCCAGGCCTTAACAAAGAAGCCGCCGAGAGCGATATTCATGGGTGTGCGCAAGTTAGATGTCAAGCCACGGCGTTCCAGGTTCTCGATCATAAGAGTCCAGGCGCGCTCGCAGGGCGCGCCAGTCGTGCGCGTCCTCAGATCCTGCACAAGGAAAATGTAGGCCGGCAACGGAAAGTTGAGCATGGTGTACCACTTGAATCCTTTCAGAGCCTCGTTGCCCTGCAACATGTTGTCATATTCAACCATCAAAACGGCCTGCTCAAAAAGCGCGTCCCGTTCGTTGTGGTCCATGACACCCCGGGTAGCTTCGCGACAGAGGAAGTCGATAACTCGGAGTTTGCAGAGCGCTTGCCTTGTCATCAGCAAGGTAAAGAAGTGCAGAGGTACCTTGGGGTCGCAATACTTGAGGTAAGCGTTCTCCATGTACGTGCAAAAACTTTCCAAATCGCGTGGCAGGTTGGTGTTTGCAACGTGGGTAACGACATCTGGTGACGCCGGGGATGGGCTGAAATGCACTCGCGGCTGAGTGACGCGAGTCCCCCCAGGCGTAGTCACGACAGCACGAAGCCCATTAGGCTCCGCGGCAACCGTTAACTCAATCCGGGTGAGGGTGAACAGCATTTCGGTCGGTCCGGGGTACTGAGTCGGGAAGTCCTTTCCGTGGAGGTTGAGATCCGAGTCGTTGATATTCAGGGGAAACCTGCAATCACCGCCGCAGCTCGATAACGCCGTGATGGCCGAACCGGTGATCTCCGCTATTCGCTTGTCCAAAATCACAATCTGCCACCATAGACGTCTCCGTTGCTCCACCTCGAACGGAGGTAACCGAAACTGTTGTCCATCCTTGTGAATGCCAATCCGGGTCGCAATTCTGACAGCGATGCCCATCAAGCAAAACATTGAGCGTGGGTCAACGTATTGGCGGACACAGAGCTGGGAGAGGTGGTGTCAGCTGATAACTTCTTATTACGTGTTTGGAGGACAACTTACCAGATACAACAGGAAAGCTTGCAAGGTCATGATCTCGTTTGATCTCATAAAGCCAGCATTGACCAGAGCCTGCTGTGTTGCGCCATGATATTTTGCCAACAGTATGGTCCTGTCTTCTCCGAACTCGGTCTGGACTTCTTCAGCAGTCATCGATGTGACAGCAGAGAAGTAGATGGCGAACATCAGAACCTCCAGAGGTTTGGGAATATTTGCCGGTTTTGCGCCAGCACTTATGATTTGCTTCTGCAGAGAGGAAGTATGACTGAGTTTCAAGATTGGGTTAACATTTGTGATGTAGGTCTGCCATAGCTGGAATATCTGGAAAGAGGACGGGTGCGAGTTGGTTACGCTGGTTGTAGATCCGCCGACGACGAAAGGGAAGCCATCGTTGTTATCGAACATCGTGTCGTATGCATGATGGAGTGTTGGCCCCTCACAATCCTCGTCGGAGGAATCGGCAAGATCCTCGTCCATGACTCGAAACTACGGTGCTTGGTTAACATTTGCACACAGAGAACTGGCCATGGCTATTGCATTGGGTGTGGAGTTTTAGGAGGAAGCGACAGGAAATATGGAAGGAAATCTCATGGGCAAGCCGAGGAACGCGAGGCCAATACTGAGGAATGCCGGCATATGGATGGAATGGTATGATGAGCATAGACGGACTGTCGGTTGACAAAGCTTACCTCCTTGTTATATGGGAACCACTTTTGCCTGAGTGAAGCAA